GGGGAGATCGAACTGAAATCGCTGTGCATCAACACCAAGAGGCTACTCGGACCCTCGGTGGTCTTGGAGCTGTTTGGTGGGATCAGGATGAGGCTAGCGGCGCCGCTGAAAGCTGGGGCCAAGTTAGAAAAATTGGTGGAAAAGGACATGGAAGTGGTGAAGATGGCCTGGTGGCACACAGAGCAGCTTACGAAGAGGTATCCACAACAGTTCACCAAAGGAGCCCTCGAGGCAAGCTCCATGAGCCAAGGCACCGACATTCGCCACATGGATGAGGCGACAATCATGCGATGGGGAAGAATCGATGTGGTGATTGCGGGGTGGGAATGCCAAGGCTACTCGTGGGCAGGAGCAGGCAGAGACATGCAGGATGAGAGGAGCCAGCTGCTTTGGGAGCTGGTACGAGTGCTAAGGCTGATCAAGCGCATGCAGGGGGATGTGTTGTACATAGTCGAAAACGTTGACATGGAGGGGGATGTGAGGGAGCATGTGCAAGTCGCCCACGAGGAAGTGACGGCGGTGTTGGGCCCAGGAGTAGCGGCAAACGCGCCACAAGCCGGGAGCAGGACACACCGTGTTCGTAGGTACTGGACAAATGGAGTGACTGAAGCCGCACTGCAATTTCGACTGTCCCTGATGGAGCGACCCGTGCCGCTGCTGGTGGAAGACATACTGGAGGTAGGAAGCATGCCCGCGCCGGTGACTCAGCCCGACCACCCGACCCAGTTCCCGTGCAACGAAGTGGGGAAGCCGCGACAGGCGTGGCTGACCTTTGTATCATTCGAACAAGCGGCGGCGTTCAAAATGCACGACGGAGTGCCAGGGCCAGGCATGGTGTATGATTGCACCGCGCAAGACTGGGAAGAACAGATAGCATTGGAGAGGGAATTGGCGATGGGTTTTATGGAGGATGCAATGGCGCACCCGGACGTGACGGAATAGGAGCGGGGAAGAGCACTGGGGAGGGCCATGGACCTCAATGTGATGCATTGGCTAGTGGCAACGATTCGGATGTATCACTCGCAGCTGCGGTCGGAGCGCAAGCGGGACAAAGCGGCAGCAGTAAGGCCCCCGACAGAGCAATCAGCGGCGAAAGAAGCTCTGGCGCGAGCGATGCTGGGGGAGATTGAGGAGAATGAAGAGGTGCAGCACACGCTTGGGTATCCGGTGGAGAGGAGGTGGGTTTACCCGTTGGAGGAGGAAGATGAGGTGCCGGTGCAATCGCAAAGCAAGCAGAAATCAGGTTGCCAAGCGACAGGGAAGAGGCGGCGGTGGATAAGAAGAGAGAAGACTTCAGCGGGTTAGAAGAGGCGACTGAGCGGCAGCGGAGCAGGGAGAGTTACGAGCGGGAGTTTGGCTCATCCAGCCAGTGGGAGTTTGCGCTGATGGTTATGACTAAGGAGGGAGAGAGCGCAGACAGGGAGCCAAAGGAGGAAGAAGGCTCAGGGGGCAAGCCGACGGTTGTGAGGGAGCCCACGGCAGAAGCAGCAGGGTACCAGGCGGAGGCAGAAAAAGGGAAAGGTCAGCGACCTCAGGAGGCAGAGGTGAAGCCGTGGGAAGTGGGTGAGGGGATGTCGCAAGAGGATGCGGATGCGCTCAGGAAAGTGCTAGCGCGCCATCGAGCAGCCTTTGCATACTCCCTGAAGGAGGTGGGGAGGTGCAAGGTAGCGGAGGTAACAATTGAGCTTACCACCGAGATTGCTGTCTATCAGCGGCGGCGGAGGATGACGCCGGACGAAATCAAGGTCTGCACCGAGAAATGTCAGGAGCTGATGGAGGCTGGGTTCATACGAAAGTCAAATTCAGAATATGCAGCCTCAACCGTGGTGGCGGCACGAACAGACTTAACTAGGTAGGTCCTGGCGAAGCGCACGTGCGGGGACTATCGAGGCTCGAACAAGGTGACGATCATGAAGCGACACCAAACGCCGACACTGGATGAGATTTTTGATAACGATTGTCTTCTCTACACTAGATCTACGACAAGGGTTCAATCAAATCCCGATCATCCCAGCGCAATTCGGTCGTCATAACCAATTTGCCTGGGTCGTGGAGAGGGGTCGTCGGAGCCGGGGCTGACGAGGCGGGGCACTGACGCGCGTGCGGGCCCGCCAGCCTGGCCTAGGGCTGGGCGGAGCGCACGACCGCCGCCCCGCAACCCCCCTGCGTAATTGAACAGCGCCCCACGTTACCGGGTGGGGGCGGCGAATTCACGACCCCTTGCGCGAGGGAAAGTAACCCTAGCGCGAAGGCAGCCCCCCCGTCCCACCTGCCCTCGACGTCCTAGTGACCCTCGCGAACTGCCCGGCCGGGCAGGCGAGGGCACGGAGAAATTGTTGTGCTCCCCAAGGGACGCTCGACAATTTCGCGACCCGCTGCAGTGACGCCACGTGTTAGCCCGTGGGTTCGCATCGGGTGCATGCGAAATTTCGTACCCCACGAAATTACAGTGCTCGCCCCGCGGCGCACGACAATTTCGCGACCCGATGCGAAAATGCCACGTGTCGTCCGAGGCGACGCACCGCGCGCATGCGACATTGCGTCCCCTCGCTGACCTGCTCCAATGGACGCGATGTCGACATGCTGGCACGGCGGAGACGGAGCACCCGTGCCACTTGTGCATGCGGCCTCCGAGCCCAACCGAGCTAGGCCCCACACCCGTGGGCGATGCCCAACCGGCGTGTCTGTGGGGCACCGCATCCCATTTCTTTGTGGATGGTGGCTTCGAGGACCTCATTTTCGCGATCTCGTTTCACTTTCCACCTACTCTAGCTCCGCGCCTTCCTTACTCCCACGTTCTCGCCCCTTAGCCGTTAGCCGCTTCACTTCGCCGTCATGGACGCCGACCTGCCCGCCGCCTTAAGTGGCGCCAACTTCGCAGGACTTCCCTTTGTACATCGACATGGGTGGCGGAATCTCTGTTACTTTCGACGAACACGACTACGCCGTCCTCCTAGACCATAGGAAGGAGCTCAACGCCCGTTGCTTGGGATTCGGCCTCAAGCGAGTAGCGTATGTAGTAGTCGGCGTCGACCGTTAGTTGCCCACTACTCGACGCAGGGATTAGGTCGACGCTCCAAGGTTTTCTAGTGCTTAGGGAACATCGACATCGCTAGTCGGCGCCGTCGGCGCCGACTTTGGGTGTTTGCACCGCCCTGACTAGTTTTTAGAACTCCGGCGTGAGGTGTAACACATGACTCCACTATCTAGGTCGGCGTAGATAACCATGCCGACACAATCTTATACACCACTAATTGCACTGTCCTTGAACCCCTCGTCGCCACGTAGCTGGTGCACCGTTGTGGTTTTACCAATCAGTTGGAGTTTACCCACACATCGTATCCCTCGTAGGTCGACGTCGACCTGGTTGCGTGGCGACCCCTCACGTGCCTCTTATGCACATTTGTGCGTGCAGGTACGCTTGGCTTCGAACAGCGCTGGACAACGCGCGATTGTGGTCGATAGGAGTCGGCCGGTTACGCGCGGCGATGGGTAGGACCGACCACCCGTTCTTCGCGACGGTTTTCAGCGCCCACGTGGCCATTCTCCCCCTGACATCGACGTGAGTTGGTTCGAGTGAGTTTGTTTTTTTCCATGATGTCGTTGCAACGTATGTCGAGACCCGCTTCTGAACGACGTCGGCGTGCCTTCCATGTGCAGCATCGCACCGCTTCCAGGATCCCACTGCAGCTTCGTAGTCATCATGAACCCCGGCGATTTGTTGAAGGCCAAGGGGCAGGAGATCAGGACCTCAATCCGGCACGTCGACCTGCAGACTGTGAAGCTGTGGCACTGCGACGAGGTGGTCCGCGTGCTGAAGTGAGCTTGGCCGCCTTGTCGACGTCGTTCGCTTTTTTTCGCCGCCGAACCTATACCTTGCTGACAGACTATCCGTGCCCTGTTGCCTCAGGTTTTTTCGCACGGCAGTCCTGGAAGAGCTGGGGCGCGATGGTAGGAAGTGGGAGTGGGCGAAGCCTTCTAACGCCGTGGTGGCGGATAGGCTCGCCGACTGCGATCGCCCTATTCGCGACGTGAGTACCTAACGATTTGCGCTCCTAGTTATTGTCGCCTGATAATCCAATGCTCATCATCACGCTCTGGCAAATGTTGTACGCAGAAAGTGCCCGACACCGTCCGGGACGGGGATGCTGGCTCCGGCATGCTTTCAGTGAGCGCGTTTTGCTGGGCGTTGATGCGGATCGAACTTCTGACGGGCGACCACCGCCGTCGTGTTGCTCGCATTGAGAACGTCAATATTACAGGGCTGAAGATTATGCGGAATGGGATGATTGGCTACATCAACGAGTGGGTCGCTGGCAAACGGTCAGCGGCGCCGACGTCGCTGCATTTCGCACTTGCTGCCAATGCCTGCGACGACGACGGCGAGAATACCCCTACGGCATCCCAAGCTGGCGGTGTCGCACGCAGCGTCGCTGGTGCGCGTGCGACTTCAAACCTTGAGCTTCGAGGCGGCGTCGGCGAGGCCGAGGCGGAGGCAGGAAAGGGGTTGACCGGGACCGAGGAGCAGCAGCATGGAAGACCAGGAGGATGATGAGGACCAGGGGGAAGAGGAGGACGACGAGGAGAAGGAGGAGGAGGTGGAGGAGGTGGAAAAGGGGTCGGAGGAAGAGGAGGAGGAGGAGGAGGAGGAAGAGGAGGAGGGGCCGGAAGAGGAGGTGGAGTTGGTGTTGGAGGAGGTAGTGGAGTACATAGAGGAGGGAGCGGCGGAAACGGGTGGGAAGACGGCGGAGGATGTGAACGAGGAAGAGGAGGAGGAAGACGAGGGGAAGGTTGAGGAGGGAGCCACGGAGAAGGGTAGGATGTCGGCGGAGCAGGAGAAGGAGAATGAGGAGGAGGGCATGAAGGCAGCGACGGAGGAGGCTCACGGCGGAAGCGGGAAGGACGACGCGGTCGGCGATGTGGTCGGCGCCGCCAAGGACGACGGTGTGCACGATGCCGACCCTTCGGCCGTAAGCGAGCGGGGTCACGCCGACGAGACGATGCAGACGGGCGCGGCAGGGCCGACCGTGGCCTCAACGGGCACGGCCGGGGGGGACAAGTCCCGGAAGAAGAAGGCGGCGCGCGGTCATCCGTGTTCCTCGGCTTCAAAGCGACGGGCATCGGAGGACGACGTCGCTCAGTTGCGGCAAGAGAACACGCGACTGAGGGCCGAAAATGCAGGCCTGGAGAAGGTGCTCAGGGAACAGTTGGGTCGGGTGGACAACTTGGTGTCGGTGACCAGTGGATGCCTTGCCAAGGTCATGGCTTTGGCCAAACAGGTCGCCGTCAGCGACAAGAATGCGGCGAAACGTCTCGAAGTCGCCACGTTGGCCATGTCGACCACCATCATAGGCAACATCACCGACAGCATTGCCGGCGCCTTGCAGTCGATGAAGAACGTCGCCGAACTGGTGACGAAGTGGCTGGACGACTTTGACAGTCCCACCGGAACTCAGGCAGTCGAACGCGCAACAGCGGTTACCACCTTGGGCTATCACGTGACCGCTGAGGTGGATGAGGCGAGGCGGGCTTTGGAGGAGACGTTCATTAGCCACATCGGCGCCGCGCAGACCTACATAGCAGACGCGGTCACTCGCAACATCGTCTTGCCGCCGCCGCCACCGTCTCCCGCCACCGCCTCTCCAACGCACGCCTTACCGGACGAGCTCATGAAGTCGTTCAAGGCAGACGTTTTGAAGGCGGTGACGGAGGCCACCCAGCAGTCCTTTGTTGCCTCCGGATTGAAGCTTATGACTGAGGTGATCGGCACGGTGGCGCCTGGTCGGCGTGGGTCGTCGCTGTCGGGCAATGACGCCGAGCCCGCGCAACGAAGGGAGGCCCACAAGCAGGGGCAGAAAAGGGAGGGCGGCGGCTTTGGGGGGGACGGAGATGATGCGGTGAGCATGAAGCGGAGCAAAGGAGCAGGAGGGAGCCGCGACGTCGGCGCGGTGGGTCCATGCGACTCAAGGACTCACTCGCCGAGCGTGATCGACCAGCTGAAGAAGAACGGGGCCAAGGTGATAAGGTGCGCTACGCACAGCAAGGGCGGTGGAAGCGGGAGTGCAGATGGGGGCCCTGCCGGCGCGAATGCTGCTCAAGACGCTGGACCAAGTGCCCCGCCTTTGGTCGCCGAGAAGCCCAAGCAGTGGGAAAGGGTTGAGCGACAAGGAGATCCCCGCCGCTCAAACGGCGACAGATGGCGGCGCCAGAACCGTCCCGGGACCGTCTGTCGCGGCGGATGGGACCACGTCGATTCCCCGTCAGCCTCCTGCGGCTAGCAGCGCGCCGATTGGCCCGTCAGGCGCCGAGAACGATGGGCCGGCCCTTGCGGCTACTCCAGCTCTAGCAGGCCCGTCCGCCGCCAAGGGCGACGCGGCGAACGCGCTCAAAGAACTGCTCGACCGCATGGCGGCGAGTCGCAAGGGTATGCCGCAGCATCCCGCTGTCGAGGCCGCCCCCGCCAAAACGACACGTAGCTCGGTCATTCAGCACGTCACGGCCCCAACGTCTGGTGCCCCACCTACAGCGTCTCCGGTCGCCGCCTGTCCTCCTGCGGACCCGAGATCCGCATTGCTTCTCGCACAGTTAGGCGCACGTAGAGCGGCAGGGTCTCAGCCGGAAGTTGGCACAAGCGCGACGCCGGCGTCGGGGAATGTGGCAGCTCTCACCCCCGCAGCAGCTGTTGTCGATGCAGGGGCGCAGAAGGGTGTGCGTGCAGCTCTTGCCACCGGCGGCGACACCGTTGACATGGAGGTAGACCTTGTACAGGCGGAGAAGGGCTTCTACGACGTCGACATCGCCGCCATCCAGACCCATTTGGAAGCAGCCAAACGCACCGGGCACCCCCCTGCTCTGGCCATCTCGGACACGGCACATGTGGAGCCCTCGGCGAGTCCCGCCGGTGGTTCAGTGGAGCCAACGACTGCTACGGATGCTGTCGGCGAGGGAAAGTCGAAACGGAAGGGGAAGGCCGATATAGGGAAAGGGAAGGAGAGCTCTCAGAGGAAAACGCGGGCGATGTCGGCGACGAAGGAGATGTCGGACGAGAAAGGGAAGGAGAAGGCGGAGGAGAATTAGGAGGAGAAGTCGGTCGGCAAGGGGAAGTCGGTGAAGAAAGGGCAGGAGAAGGCGAAGGAGAATCAAGAGGAGAAGTTGGTCGGCAAGGGAAAGTCGGTGAAAAAAGGGAAGGAGAAGGCCGAGGACCGACGGGTGCGTGAGTGACCGACAGTCGCACGACACAGAAGCTACCTGACCTGACCTGACCAGAAACACAAGTCTCAACCCCATCGCCAGCTCCCACGTACCGGTGTGTGTACTGGCCGGGTCCGACAGGGCCCCATGGTGGAGGCTGCCGCTGGCTCTGCTGCTGCTGCTGCTGCTGCGGCCACAGGTGTTGCGGCCATGGCTGCTGCCGCGGCCACGACTGCTGCTGCGGCCACTGCTGTCGCGGCCACTGCTGCTGCTGCGGCCACCGGTGCTGCTGCCACTGCTGTTGCTGCCGCTGTCGCCACATCAACATGGCACGCTAGTACGTGGGGGGTAGGGGCCAGTCGAGGCGGCAGTACGAGTGGTAGGACGGCCTAAGCTAGTGCTGGCGCGACTGAAGGTAGCCTAAGCTGTATCTGATGCGCTAAACGCGGGTGCTGGCGCATGCTGGAGCTTCATAGCAGTGGCGCATGCTAGAGCTTCAACTTTTTTAATTAATTAATAATTCATCATAAATCATGGAGGGCGCGGGCGGCCAAGATGAAGGACGCGGGCGGCCAAGATGAATGACGCGGGCGGCCTAGGAAAAGGGGCGCGCGCGACTGGGTGTGCGCGGCTACGCGTGTGCGGTCGCTTGGGCGCGGCTGCGTGAGTGTGCTCTACGGGCAACGGGCGCTACGGGCGACGGGCGAGAAATTAGGGTTACGGGCGACGACGGGCGCGACGGGCGACGGGCGCTACGGGCGACGACAGGCGCTACGGGCAACGGGCGCTACGGGCGACGGGTGACGCGCGACCTAGGTCGCGACAAGAGTGCCCGCGGGGGGGGCCGCGCTACGAGATGAAAGAGGGGCCACGACGGGGGGGGGGGGGGGGGGGGGGGACGCGCTACGGTACGAACGAGGGGTGGGGGGGGGGGAAGGCGTATGTAGACAAAGGATTAAAGCAATGTTTATCATTTCAGACAAAAAAAAAGGACTTATCTTAGAATTCAGACGATTTTTTAAGCCTTGTCTAAAAAGAAGTAGAAGGGGCAAACATTCTAGATATATTGAAAAAAAACAATCAGTGCACATGTGCTACTACTCCTAATCTGAAGATTCACTACCTGTAAGGAAATTTCATTTTCCTTATCGGGCTTGACTGCTACTTGTACAACCCCAACACATTCGGACTTCGCACGTTCGGCCGACATCCACGATTCCGAGGCTGCATCGCGTCCCCTTCATTTTTTCCTTCACCAAACCTGCACCCAACCTCGTACCGTATCACCCCAGATATAAGCGCACGCATATGTTAAGCACATGCGCTTATATCTGGAGCAACGCGCTTATGGTCATTCCTCAATTAGAAGCGCACCCCTTTTGAAACCGTTACTTATTATAAGCGCACCATTTTTATGCAACAATATTTTTTACCTTAGTTTAATTATTCACATTAATCTAAAAGCCCCCCTTGGACTTTACATCCGACAACAATAATTTTCCATTATGATTAACATTTTCTTACACGTTTCGCCACTAACAAACAAAGATACGGGCTAAGCCTACTCGAGGCTTAGTCTAGCCTAAGGGAGGTCGTCCTCCTCGTTGGACTCAGGTTCCTGGCAGTTTTTTCCCCAGAAGCCATCGGCTTGGATCTTGTCGTCGGCATCTACTCCATGCGTCAGCTGGCTCCTCCTATGCGCAATCGCCAACTTCTCCTCGCTCCCGTCAAGCGTGTTGCCGATGCCGCACGTGAGGTTGGCCTTCTTGATGAGGTCAGCGGGCACCACCTTCCAGGCCCGGGAAATCCACCTGAGCACGACCCCGAGAGTGTAAGAGTACGTCGACGTTCGACATATTTCTCATTTCCATATTTTTACTCTATCTTATTCTCCTTATTTTTCTATTTCATTTGCACTTTATTTCACCTCAATCGGACTACTATTCTATTTTCTAGAGCTTTCCGATTGTTTCACTTATTCTGTATTTTCGGCACCGACATTTACATTATACGGCACCGACAGCACCGACGGTGGTGTACAAGGCATAATCTTGCCATAATCCGAAGTGCCATTGGGCTTGCGTGCTTATGCGCACTAGAGATTACATATTCTAGAAGAGCGCGTTCCCGAAGGTTCGGATTATTTGTTGTTTCTATGTATTTCTGAGTATTAAAACGCCTTGTACTTGTCAGATTTATATGACAGAGCTACTGTAGGCTATAGTGGGGTAGCACATATGGGGTACAGTTTTCTAGGGTTTGTATTTGTACCCAACTTTCCCTTAGTCATTCTCATTCCTCGTTTCTTCTCATGGTATCGAGCAGGTTCCCTAGTGGGAACTATTCCTAGGGCCCACCACCACGAAATTTTTTTTTCCTGCCCGGAGCGCGCTTCGCTCAGGCCCGAGTCGCGCCCTGTGTGCTCTCCCTACCGTCGCGCCCTCGCTAGGCCCCTCACGGCCCCGTCGCGTCGCCCTTAGCGGCCCCCTCACGGCTCGTCGCGCCGCCCCCTACGGCCCTTCGCGCCGCCCTTACGGCCCTTCGTGCGGCCCTTACGGCCCGTCGCGCCCGTCGCGCCGCCCTTACGGCCCCTCGTGCCGCCCCTTACGGCCCCTCGCGCCGTCCCTTACGGCCCCTCGCGCGGCCCCTTACGCCCCTTACGGCCCCTCCCGCGGCCCCTCACGGCCCCCTACGGCTCGTCGCCGCCCTCCGCGGCCCCGCCACCTACCTGTGCGGCCCCGCCACCTACCTGTGCGGCCCCGCCACCTACCTGCGGCCCCGCCACCTACTAGCGGCCCCGCCACCTACCTGCGGCCCCGCCACCTACCAGCGGCCCCGCCACCTACCCGCGGCCCCGCCACCTACCTGCGGCCCCGCCACCTACTAGCGGCCCCGCCACCTACCTGCGGCCCCGCCGCCTCCTCTCAGCGGCCTCGCCGCCTCCTCCCAGCGGCCCCGGACGCCGCCCTCTCAGCGGCCCCGCCGCGCCGCCAAGCAGCCGAGCCGCCCAGCCGCCGAGCCGCCCAGCAGCCGAGCCGCCCAGAAGCCGAGCCGCCCAGCAGCCGAGCCGCCGAGCCGCCCAGCAGCCGGGCCGCCGAGCCGCCCAGCAGCCGAGCCGCCGAGCCGCCCTGCAGCCGAGCCGCCGAGCCGCCCAGCAGCCGAGCCGCCGAGCCGCCCTGCAGCCGAGCCACCCGAGCCGCCCTGTCCGGTAAGAGCAGCGCCTCTTTCACAGCACTGCCCTCACCCTACTGTTTGCGCTGCTAGTCTACTGCTGTCATGGCTACCCCTAGTGTCCTCGCTTTTGACGCTGAGGGTCGGGCCATTGAATTTGACGTCTGGATAGATGACCTGCAGCTTTTCTTACAGTGCGACACAGCAGACGGCCTCTCCCTCTTTGACCTCACTTCTGGTGCCTCCCCTGCCCCCGCTGCTGATGCTGACGCCACTGTTCGCTCACAGTGGGCCACGCGCGATGCTGCTGCACGTCTTGCTGTGCGTCGCCACCTGCCTACCTCTGAGCGTGCGCACTTTAGCCAGTACAAGAGTGCTCACACCTTGTACGACGCTGTAGTTGCGCGCTACTCCTCCCCTGCCACTGCTGCACTGAGCCGCCTCATGCTACCGTACCTCTTCCCTGACCTTGCTGCCTTTCCCACAGTCGCTGACCTCATTACGCACCTCCGCACTAGTGACACTCGCTACCGCGCTGCGCTTCGTGCTGAGTTCTGCGCCAAGAACCCCCCCCCCATGTACATCACCCTCTACTACATAGTCACCCGGCTCCCTGACTCCCTTCGCGTAGTCAGGGACCACTTCCTCTCAGTTTGCCCCACCACTCTCACCGTTGACCTCCTCGAGAAGTCCCTCCTAGCAGTAGAGAAGAGCATAGTCGCTGTAGGAGCCTCTCGTGGTGACCCTCGCACCCCCATCTTTGAGGGGTGTTCCCCCTCCCCCCTTTTGCCCTCTGTTGCCTCTGCTGCTGCGGCCGACCTCGTTGGGCTTGAGTCGGTCGGTGCGGCGTCTACCCCTAGCGGGAGACGCCACCCTGGCAAGGGCAAGGGGGGCAGGGGCACTGGAGGAGCTAGCGGGGGCGGTGGAGGCGGCGGTGGAGGCAGTGGAGGGGGTGGGGGTGGCGGTGGGGGTGGTGGTGGGGGTGGAGGTGTCGGTGGCGGCGGTGGAGGCGGAGGCGGCGGCGGCGGTGGCGGTGGGAGCGGAGGTAGCGGCGGTGGAGGAGGCGGCGGCGGAGGAGGTGGAGCTGGTCGGGGTGGCGCTGCGCAGAGGGTCGGCTCCGGTGGTGGTCAGCGCCAGCAGCAGCAGCAGCAGCAGCAGCAGCAGCGCACTCGTGACATCCCCCCCCCTCAGCAGCTCCGTGAGTGGTACGCTGCACGCCAGCGGGGTGGGGGTACTGGTCCGTGCACCTACGTCCTCCGCACCGGCGACCGCGCGGGTGACCAGTGCGGGGGTGCGCACTCCACCCAGCGCTGCTTTGGCCGCCTGACGGACGCTTGGCGTCACCAGTTCCCTGAGGCCACTGAGATCCCCCGCTGGGGTGAGCTGTCTAGGGCGGGTGTCGCTGTCTTTGACCTTGACTTTGATGCTATTCTTGCTGCTATGTATACTGTGACTATTAGTGATGAGGGTGACTGTTACCGGTGTTTTCCGCCCGACCCGGGCATTGAGACTGCTGCTCTAGGTACTGGTGAGGCTGCTGCTCTAGGTGCTAGCGAGGCTGCTGCTCTAGGTGCGTCTGCTCCCTGAGGTGCTGGTGAGTCTGCTCTCTCAGGTTCTGCGTCGGCTTCGGCCTCCCACACCTTCACCCTTGACTCGGGGGCTTCTCGCTCCTTCTTTCGAGACCGCACCACACTCACGCCGCTTGGCCGGCCAGT